ACTTTGCACAGGTTAGGCCTGCCTATCTAGCCATATATCTATTAAAGACATATGTCTGTCTGTAAATAGCATTTTTTTTAAAGTCCACAGTGCCTTCTAGTGGCTTGGAGAGGCACCATTCTGATTCATTTCTTTCACATTTGAATTATTTGTTGCTGTAGTCACTGATTTGTGCTTTATCCTACATAAATGAGTAGATATTAAAATATTTAGTAATACTTTGTTGTGAGCTGTGATTCTACCTTTTGTTATTATCTAAAACAACATCTATATGTGCTGTGGCGTTTTAGTATTACAGCGATGTTGATAACTTGAATTTAAAATGCAAAAATTATACAAATTCTTTAACATTGTTCTGACTACTTAATTTACTCAAATTGTTGCTGCTGAAAATAGCTCTCTTGCAGAATCAACAGGAAGTGTTCAGAGGGTGAGGGTTCAAGAGGTTTCCATTCCACAGCCTTCCTTACGTTTAGTGGTGTAGCCCTGTAGATTATGACGTCATGGTAAAGTAGGAATAGATTCCACTCTCTTATTGGAGCTCGGGATAACAGTCAGGATTAAGTGCATGTAGTAGATGGCCAGTAACTGCTCATGAGCAACAGAGGATCAAGCGGCCTTGCTGACTTTTCTTCTGTGTACCTTAAGGAAAATAATTGGTGGATTTTTCTAGTCTGATGATGAAGAATATCATAGAGATAATGAGGGGCTTCTGAGGAAGGCGTCTTTTCACTTCATTGGTAAGCTAATCAATCTCTAATGCAACTCATGTTCAGGGACATTTTTATATGACAACACAAAAAAGACATGAGACTAAATTTTCAAATGGCATGAAACATACTAGCATGCATTTGAGCTATGGGTTTTATGTTGGAGTCAATATCTGATAAAAAAAAATCACTAAAACATTTGTACAACTTTTTTATAGGCTTTGCCTGCTGTCTGTAAGAACCATTAAAGAAGATGAAGGTGAAATGGACCATGTTTGGCATGATTGTCTTCTTTCTGCTCTCTGTAGTCATGACCTGCTGCTTCATTTGGCAATATAGGAAGCCAAAACTGAAGACAGGTAAAGAGCTGCTAGCCATCATTGGCTTACACTCACATGAGATGTACAGTGTTTTTTAACCTGTGAGCTGGGCCTTCTTATCCTCTTGGTGTAAGTACTTATATGTAGGAGCTGCAGCAGGATTACACAAAGCTGGAAATAGCAGCAGGATCAGCAAGGAGCTAAAGCAGACTTTAACTCAGGCGGAGAGATAGCAGTGTAGTGTCTGATGGTGTAAAACACACTGGGACTGAAGTAATATAAGAAACAACCCAGGTTTATAACTTTGTGGCCCTAGGAGAATTAAAGCATTACATATTTATAGCACCTAATAATGAACAATGAGATTGTTTTGGGGCTCATGTGTACGCGCTGAATTTAATAACCGCTTTTTATTACATACGTGTTAGAGTGAGTCCCTTCAGTACATTAGAAATTGCATAAC